ATCCGTTAAAGTATCATACAAATATGAATTATTTAATGACTGACATTAAAGACACATGATGTTTATTTGAATAACCATATTCTTCAAAACGTACAAGAGTGAGTAAAACAATCAGAAATCTTTACAACGTAACATGTTCAAGATTATAGTATGGTGGTTCCAAAAATTACCCGAAACCGTGGTCTCGGTCAGTAGAAATGAGAAAAGATCGGTTCCGGTTCCATTTTTTTTGGAACCGCCGTACCCTAGTTATCGAACCTACTATGGGAAGATTTAATCTCTGTCTGCAACACTTAGGAAACTAGTTCCAGAATAAGTTTCAATGCACCTTCATCGACAGTTTCCAACGGTGAAAACCACATCTCTCTATCTTGTTCTTATCGGAAGTTATTCTAATTATCATACTAATAGTTTTTTCAATATAAACTCTACTCGTATATGAAATCTAGATATTTGTTTATTACCTGATTCTTTTTGTCGTGTGCAACAATTGTCACATTATATTCATGATTATCTGTTTCATAATCAAATATTTTTCGATTGATAATAGTACCATTATTTGATAAAATATCAAATAAATTCATTGGATCAATTAAAATATATATAAAATCTTTTGAATTTTTTCCAATCATACATATATTTGTTCCATCTGGTTGATTTTCATTAATAGAACATTGATTTTTAATTTCTATATTAAAATAAATATAATCATCATTGATAATTGATATAAAAATATTTGTTCGATCAGTTAAATTAATTTCATTTTCAAATGCTTCAATAATTAATGTTATATTTGTTATTGTCGATGGTATAAAGTCATTTAAATAAATATTTCCTGTATATTTTTCAATTGAAAACATCGATAAAGAATTGATTAATAAATAACTTATATTTCCATTCTGAATTGGATCGTAACTTGATGCAGTTATTTGAAAAATATGTTTTCCTGGTTGAATTGATTTGTTTAAACTAATTTGATAGTTATCTTTTTCAAATAAAGGTCCATGATCATTTAAATCATTAATATTAATTACTAAAATATCTGTTAAATTCTTTTTATTATAATTATTTATTGCATGAATTTCATATTGTAATTTTTTTCCATGAATTTCTCGATCAAGTTTAATTAATAAAATAATTGAGCCAGTTTGAGGTTCGATTAAAATTTGTGATGATAATTCTTTAAGATAATATTTATAATGAAAAAATGATAATTGATCAATATCGATTAATTGTATACGTCCAATATAATAAGGTATAAGATTATTTTCATCAATTGTATATGTTAATGATTTTCTATCGAATGATATAGAATTATCGTTGATATTTATTAATTTAATTAATATTGATAATGAACAATTGAGTTGTTCTGGTTCAAGAAAAATTGAAAATGAATAAAGATATTTTTCTTCATAATCAAGTCGTGATTTTGATATTAAAAAACCTGTTGTAGAATTTAATATAAATGCATGAGAATCTTTCGTAATAGTTAATTTCATATTAATTTGGTCAATTAATTCCGAATTATTATTTATCATGTATAATATATCTTTAATATTACCAATTTTTGTACCTATTGCACATTCTTCTTCAATCATCCATTCAATTGGCATCTATATATAATAAATATTGTGATTTAATTATATAGAAAAAAAAAATACTTACGACTGGACATATAAAATGTGACCATTTAGGTGTTCGAATTATTGATATATTAGTACGACAATAGATTAATGAAGAGGAAGATATAAGAATAGTTAATTCAAAATAATCATCAGATGTTTGATTAAGAATTGATGAAACCAAATATAATTGACCAAGTTTATTTATAGAAAATAGATTATATTTATCTCCAGATAAGATGTAATAATGATTGTTAGTATCATTTTTGAAATAAATATCCTGTATGATTGTACCTTCAAAAAAAAAATACATAATGATCATATGCTTTATTTCACTAGAACATTTCGATTAACTCTTGATTACTGTTGTGGGGTCCGCGTGCACCCACTTTACAGGTTTTCGTCTCACACTACACAACTATTTACTATTTCAGGTTATTTGTTTTTTGTAATCTCTAGGTATTGGTAGATGTACAATGTTCTGATGAAAAACCATGAACAGATCTAAGAGAGAAAAAATACGAATATGGGTCCACGCGCATCCCAGGACACCAATGATCGTTTGGATACGGGTTTCTGCTTTTTTACAACTGTCATCTGTTGCGTATCGATTTATTTTTAAATTAAATACGTTCTGATTCGTTTGCCTCTCATAGTAGAGACTCACATTTTCTATGTAAGTTGTTAAATTTTCTCTATTTTCTGATAAAAACTATAGTATGGTTAGTCCTTTTTCTTCGCATTGTGCGTTCTTATATTGCCTCTATAAGAAGCGATAAATAAGTACCTTTCGTAAAGCAAAATCCTTATTTATTGTAATTTTCATGGGATGGATCCGGGCGAACCCCAGGACACCGTTGAAGTTATAAAATGAAGACGATAACCAAGAGTTAAGAAGAAAAATCATTATGCAGGTGAAATACAAGATATGAGACTGTAAAAGTGAATGATTTTGTTCTATTCACTTACTGTCATATCTACCGAAAATCACACCTTAGGGAAAGGAAGAAATCTCACTCGGATATTCCGGTCAATTTTGCGCCACCTCCGTGTCATGCTTACTCATTCTTCGCCACCCCGTGCCCGGCCCACTCATTCCGCACCATCGCTATTTATAATTCTCGCATCTTACCTGGTAAACTTTGATCCGATATTGATATTGTTCTATTTGAACATAATGCTATGTCTGATGGTATTGCAAATTGTTTTCTTTTGTTCAATATAATATTAATCAATGCTGTATCATTTAAATATGTTTTTTCATCAATTGCGTAAACTAATAATTGAATTTGGTCAATAGAATTTATTTTATATGAAGTATATTTGAATGATAATATTCCAGTAGTTTGATTAATAATTAAACCATATGAATTTGTTTGTAATTTATATCGAATAGTATTTGAACTTTTTGCAAACACTTGAATATTTTTTGTATAGAAATAATAAATATTCGATGAAAATTTTGGTTTAAAATCTGATTGTATAAAATGAATTTTAATTTGACTTGTTGTTATAATTTTTTCATTTATAAATTGTAATTCAAAAAAACATAGATTAGATAAAATCGGATAATTATTAAAATATAATTTCTTTTCATTGATATAAAAATTTTCCGTACAATTCTGTATTGTTAATGGTGTCGAACGAATTTTTAATGAAACATTTTTGAATTCAAATTTTTCAATAAAAAAATTTTCTTTTAAAATTTCAATTTCTAAATAAAATTCATAGAAATTCTTATTTAACTTAAGATTTTTTTCTCCATATAAAATTTGTATAGTTGTTTGACAAGTCAGATTTTTCCAATAACCATTTATATTAAAATAATAGATTTTCGACTGATGAAATAAATCTTTTAAAATTAATTTATTTTGATTTATTTGTAAGAAATGAGTTGAATGTTCAAGTTCAAGTCTAGTTGATGATAATGGTTGATTGAATGTATCAACAAGTTGAAAATGAAATATTTCCGAAGGAATTTTAATTGATAGACTTAGAAATATATGATATAAATTTGAAGTAAATCTCGGTTGAATTGGAAAGAGAATTATAATTTTTGTATAAACAATTTGTTGAGCACGATCCGAAGCAGATGCAAAAAATTCAATGATTGGAGATAAATATGTTTGATTACTGGTAATTAAACCTGAATAATGATCGATTTGTATACCATCAGGTTCGAGATATAATTTATAAGTAATTTGATCATTTAAATCAGGATCATAAGCATAAATTTGTCCAAGAATTTCATTATATTGAAAAGTATATTCATCCGATGAAAATTTTGGAGAATTTTGTAAATAATCATAAATAGTTATTGGAAGATATTGTTTTGTTAGATGTAAACCATCGCTAACAGCTATTTTTAATTGAAAACTAATATGGTTTATAGAAGTTTTTGATGTGATTATACCATTTGTTTGATTTATAGAAAAGATTTTTTGTTGATTTTTATCAAGAAGATAATATTTTAGATGTTCATTATCAGATAGATCAAGATCATATGCAGATAATTTTGTGACAAATGTATCATCAGATGAAATTGTAAGATTTAATGGAAGATTAAAAAACATTGGTGGATGATCATTATAATCCAGAACAGTTAATTTAATAATTAAAATCTGATTAATTGGAGACACATGAATTTTTAAGGAATAAAATAGATCAAATAAATAATTTCGAAGAATTATTTGTCCAGTATTTGCATTGATTTCAAAAAGATTTGTATCATAATCAAGTAGAGAATATTGAAAATTTTCTGTAGTAAAAATATTTGGTTGAAAAATGATTGAACCAGGTGGAAGAATTTCTGATATTGTTTGATGATAAATTAATGAATGAAGAGAAATTGATTCTGGTGGAAATATATAAACAATTACATTCGCTATTGCATTTTGTTGATAGATTAAATCATGTGCTATAATTTGAAATTGTCGTATCGTTTTATTATCATATTTATTTGAAACATAATTCATAATACCATTATCAGGATTAATGTAAAAATGTTTAGTTGAGGAAAGAAATTGATAAATAAGATGACTTCGATTTTTATTATATGGTTGAGCAGATATTTGACCAATAATAATTGGTTTATTTATGTTATTAGTAAGATGAAGAGAAAATTTATAGATTTGTTGAGAAAATATCGGTGCTTGATTTAATATGTTCGATGTATTATTGATGTGAAGATTGATTTCATCAAAAGACTATAAAAATGAAAAATATTAAAGTTATAATCCTATGTGCAGAGGTGTAGCTAAAGAGCGGTATCCGAGAACTGAGCCCCTTGGAGAAAAATATCTGAGGGAAGGCACAGGTTAAGAAAGACTATTTGCAAGGTGAAGATTTTTGCTGCTGGCGTGCACCTCTATTGAAAAATTTGCATTTCTACAGTTACAGGTTGAATTCTCTTTTTAAGGTTCGATCGAATAAGTCCGCCGTCAGTGGTAGCACTGTCATTACTATAGATTTTTCTCAGAAACTATCTGCGAAATGACTCTGATGTACAAGCTCATATGTTTAATTATTTTACTATTATGAAGCTTATATTATTTGTAAGAAAAATTCTTTTCGATAGTAGGGTCCGATGGAATCATTGCGATCCCTATTTTTGTCCCGAATCTCGAATTATGCCTCATTGAGATCAAGATCAGGATCTCAGTCACGACGAGATCGGGATTTGGGACGAAAATAGGGATCTAGATGATCACGCCGTAGTCGGACTTGAAAACTATATCAAGTACGCCTGATTAGGCGTGATCGGGTTTCAATCTTAAAGAGCGGGATCGAGATCAGAACAGAAGAAGCTGATCCCGCCAGACCCTATTCGATAGTATTCAGCTGTATGGAAAACTATTCTGATAAGATTGTCCTCATGAATTGAATTCTAGACAAGACAATAAATAAAACTAGAAATTTTAGCGTAGTTGTTAATTCTCACTTAGAAAAATATTAAAATTCTATATACTAAATAATATGCTCTTTACTATGTTTATTCTACACGGATTTGTACCTTTTTAATTCCATGGAATCTTTCGATTTCTAAATTGTTATTTATTGTTTTTATCATAGTATTATTCGATGAATATTCATTAAATGTAACTAAACATCGTGCATTTTCAATTTCAATTAATAATATTAAATCATCTTTAATCAATTGATTTTGATTTCGATAACGTAAAAATCCATATTCATGATCTAATATAAATAAATGATTATAATTTACAAGATGAAATATTCGTTTTTGATTAGAATTTAATATTTCAATAAATCCAATTAAATCATTATCTAAATTAGAATAAAATCTATTTAATGAACATTGTAAGATTTCTTTTAATAAAATATGAATTTCAATACGAATTGTTCCAATAAAAAATTTAAAAAAATTTCCTTCATTTAATATCAATGTTTCATTTCTAATAAATAATCTTCGATTAATATCAATTGAAAACATTGAAGAAATTTTTTTATCATAAATTTTTAAATTTGAATTTAATTCATTTAAATAACCAATTGTATAATTATTAACAAATGGTTTATATAATTGAAATTTATAAATTTTTTGTTTAGTATGATGAATAAAAATATTTAAACGTGTAAATGTAAATAATGATTGATATTTAGCTAAAATAAGAAATGAATATTGCATAAATAATTTTTTTTTCGAAATATATTTTATTATTCCAGTATAATTATCTAATTGAAAAGAATTCATAGAAGTTTGATTCATAAAATGATAAGTAATATCATATGGATTTAAATAATAATATCGATTTTTAATTGATAAATACATTGGTTCTTGATTATGATATACAAATAAACTATTATTAATATAACCAGAATAGATTTCTTTGTCAAATATAAAATCATTTGTTTTATTAGGAAATTTTATTGGAGAATTCATTACACATTCAATGATATTCATAGGTGTTAATGGGTCAAATCCGTGAATAGTAAGAGACTTATAATGATCATATTGTTGACCAGTAAATCGATCAATACTGCTTGTTGGTATTGATTCGTATGTGAAAAGATATGGAGAAGAATTTAAATGAGAAGGACATGTAAATTGAATGCCAATATTTGATATGAATATTGTTACTGTACAATTAATAAATTCTTTTTGTGATGTATCAATAATAGTTAATTGAATTGGATAAATATATGAACGAGAACGAGATTCATCCAAAAGGATTAAAGATTGAGTTAATGAATCAATAGAAAATAAACCTAATGGATCACCTACAAAAAATATTCACATATAAACATATATCTAGGAATCTTGATTATAAGTACTGAAATATCGGAATACAATTGAATGATCAAGTTAAGTAAGTCCCAAATTTGGAATTTACAAATTTCAAGTTTTTCGATGAATTGTAGCTTTCAACTATGTGCTTTTTTTTCTTCAGCGTTACCGGTCGACTCACGAGGGAACATATTTAGATGTTCAAGCAGTTTAGATCCCCTATTTTGGTGATAAATAGACCTTGATGAGGTATGAAAAGCCTCAAAAGAATTCATCCCCTCGTGCCTTTGTTCCCGAGTTATGATCGTTTTACTGCATATTTGGCTTACTGCAAGGTATTTCGAAAAAATTCTGATGACGCATTTTCAACCTGAAATTATGCCCATGGAGAGGTCTCATTGGCACTAGATTGTGCTACAGGTATCAGCTCGAGCGGATGTTTCCTTTACGAGATAATGAATTTCCAAAGCAGATCAGTTTTTTTCGAATGGTTGCTAAAATACAGGATTTTTTAAAATTCGATTATCTGGAGAAGGAGATATTTGTTCAGACTGAGATTTTCAGAACAATCTAGTGCCAATGGGACCTCTCTATGGGCAGAATTTTTATGAAATACGTTGCAGTAAGCCATATATACAGTAAAACGATCATAACTCGAGAGCAAAGGCACGAGGGGATGAATTCTTTTGAGGTTTTTTACACCTCATCAAGGCCTACTTATCACCAAAATGTGGGATCTAAATATGTTCCCTCATCAGTACAGTCCAGAGTATCTATTAGAGCAATCAAAATCAGATGATTATAGTTTTCAGGTAGAGTTTTTCGCGCAAACTTAGATATTCGTAAACTCCAAATTTGGTGCACACTTAACTTAATCAGTTGGAATATATTAACTGACATGAAGAATTTGATCTCGAATACACTTGTAAACCCTTCCCGCTAACATTAATATCGTTATACATGTATTTTAAAACTAGGTCATAACATAATACTTCAATGAAGAATAATGGTATATATTTTACCTTGAATAATTTGTGCATCTGGTTTAATTCTATCTTTATAATTTTTGTTATTTATTAATTCTAAATTAATTAGAGACCTTTTTTGATTATTCGTTAATGTTGATTCAAATATAACTAAATAATTATCACGAGTAAATCGATAGAATTGATTTGTTTGAAATTTTAATTTATCTTTACCAAGTATATTTATATGTAAACGTGTAAAAGCTAATTGAGTAGAATATTGACATTGATAAATAATTATTAATAAATGTTTTTCACTCAATGAGTTTTCTAATGATTGTATAATAGTTATTGAACCTGAATATGGATCGATATGAAAGAAATCTTTTGATTTAATTCTTTCAACTGAATGAATATTATATGTACAATTATCAGATGGATTTTCAATTGTTAAATGTGCTATTTCAATTCCAATCGGCAGATTTTTTGAAACTGAAGTATAATAATCTGCTTGAGAAAAATGCATTAACACATGTTTATCATTCATAATATGAATATGTATCTAAAATAAGAATCAAACTGATTATATAATAATATATGAGGAAATCATTTACTTTAATTGTATCCATATGAATCCAATTATGAGTTACATTAATATGAAGTTCAATCATAGTTGTTTTATTGATTAATTCATGAAGAGGACGAATAAGAATGAGTTCACCCGATTGAAAATTTACATGAAAATAACGTGTATGATCCATTTGACTTATCATAATAAACCATTGTGTATATGTATTATTTTTTCCAAGTTCTAATATAATGGAACCAACTTTTGTTGTTGTTAGGAGTACAATACTTATTGATGATTTATTCATGGGTGATGCTGGTAACAATAATGAAGAATTGATTATATTTATTGGTTGAATTCGAATTTTTATTGGTAAAATAACTCGAGATGAAACAATACGCCATTTTCGACGATCAGAATGTTGTTCATCATGATCACTTTCATCCTCTTCAATATCATTATCATAAGCAACAGTAAATGCTTCAACCTATTTAACAGTAAAAATTATGAGGGATAGTTAAAAAAGTTCATTTTTCTCTTCTTACGTTGAATTCATAAGTTCTATGATCATGTAATGATTGTTTTGTAGCAATATAACCAGTTTGACGATTAATAATAAAATATTGATTAGGATCAATTATTCGATATCGTACTTCAAGATTTTTATCATAAACTTCATGATCCAGTAAAGCAATAACTTGAAATAAACGTTGTCGTAATCGTTCATAATTAGATGCAGATTTTATTAAATCAATATTATATATTGAAGAATATAAAAACTTTGGTGTTAATTGATATCGTTGAATAAGATTAATATTTAAATAACAATCAACAGATAATTGATGTTGTCTATCTAGAACTTGTATTGTTAATAGATAATCCGATTTTGTAAGATAATTATTTTCGATTAATGGTAATACTTGCATAAAACCTGTTTGTTTATTAATAGAAAACATTTTTTCATTTATATTATTTTTTATAATTGTATATTCTAAATGAATATTATCATAGTAAGATAATGCTTGAATACTTGTAAATGGATATTGAATTGAATAATCATAAAGTTTGATATATTGATAATTATCTATACATTGTGGTAAATAGAAATTTTCTTCTCGAATTGATATATGTATATGAATAAATGAATGCGGTGGATGAGCACGATAACGTGTTAAACGAATCGGAAGCCAATATGATGAATTTAATAGATCAGTTATTGTATGAATAAGACGAATAGAACCTAAATAAATATTTAGAATAATAATATACATAAACTATTCATTCATATGTAACTCGAAAAGTTTTAAGTCATATCTAATAAAGATAGGAAAAAAACTTTCATGAGAAATTCTATACTATTATTTCATAGATACTTCATAACGGTTAGTTGTAAATACATAAACAGTATAATGGGTATAGGACATATGTGGAGGGGATTTGGAGATAAAACGAACCCTCTCAACCTCACGTATCCTCGGTATAATATAAGACTTTTATAGTACAAAATACCTTGTTGATCGATATCAAATAGTATTATATTTTCTTCGTGAATTATTTCAATAAAATCAACTGATGCTTTCGGAAGTTTTAAACGATGATAAATATTCATAATAATTGTTTGAGCAGGTAAAGATTGATTAATTACTATACTATAAGCTGGTTCAGGTATAAGAATTGGTTGTTGTACTTCTATGAAACGTTTTACAGAAATATAAATCCATGTTTGATTTATATGTAAACCATCGGATACTTTTACTGTAAAATTTAAAGATTGATTAATAAAATGATGTAGATCAGTTTTTAATCGAAGATGACCTGTATATTTATCGATTTTAATATATAGATTTGAATCTATTGAATAAAATAATTTATCTGATTGATCAAGATCTGATGCATAAATCTGACCAAATATAGTTTCTCGAGGTAAATCAAATGATATTTCATAGATATAATTTGCAAATGAAAATTGAGGAATATTATCATTTCGATCCATAATTGTAATATGAATTGTCATACATATTGATTGTAATTGTAATTGTTCACCTTGATCGGAAGCAACAATATATAAATGAAGATATGATATCTGTTCACGATCAATTAATTGAATACAATCCAATTGTCCAGTTGAAGAATTAATAGTAAAATATGTATTATAATTAAGTAATGAATAAATTACTGTCCCGTTTTCACCTATATATATATAAAGATTAAATAAATAAAAAATTTAGGTAAAAATTTACCTTGATCAGGATCAAATGCTTGAACATGAAAAATATTTGTTTGTATTTGATTTTCATTTAAATAAATATGTTGATGTAAAGACTCACAACTAGGAATATTATCATTAATATCATTAATATAAATAGTAATGAATATTTTTTGATAATATTTATTTGAATATTGAAAATCAAATGATAGATTATTATTTTGAGTTGTATATATTTCTTGTAATTTTATTATATAAGTTGGTATCAGCTTTAATTCAATTTCAAAATTATATTGATTTTGTTTTTCTCGATCAAGTGAATTTATTAATATAAGAGTTTTATGATTTGAATCAATTGTAAATGGTACAGATGTATCATTGATTAGATAGAAAAAAACATTATCCTGTTCATTATTAATATATAAAGGAAAAGAATCATATTCAATGGGAAGATGATCGATAATTGTATTTATTTCCATATCTTCGGAAAGTTGATATGATATTGAATGGTGTTTAAAACCAATGTTAAGATAAATAGTTTCAATTTTTGAAAATTGTGTAAGAAAAGATGTACTAAAAAAAAATAAATCGTAAAATTACAAGTAACGCTCGTCCGAGGACTCGCTTAGCTCTTTCTCGTGGAAATGCTTTCTCTTCGCATTTACTAGAAAAACGATTGAAAACCATGAAAAATCGATTTTCGCTGTTTTTTTTAAGTTTGCACCCTTATCATGATCACCCAACAGATCTCAGATTCGAAATACCTCAAGAAATGTCTTTTCCGGAAAAATGGTCTCCGATGTTTTTTTGACCCTGCAGACAATTTATGTTTGCAAGACTCTTCTCTACGAGAAAGAGAATAAATTATTCAATTTATAAAAGTCAAAGCTAAATCTAAACTTAAGTTTCGAGTATTCTATATTGAAAAATATATTTAATACAGTTTTCTTTTTAAATTTCTCACCGGTTTATTGTTGATAATGACTTATTTTTCCATCTTGTTTCTAGATCTCGTTTGAATAATCCCTTTGATAAATTAATTCGTACATCAATTCTTGATTCTAAACTTATTGGTTCACCCCAATCAAATGCTATTATTTGTAAATAATAAATTTTTTCTTTATTAAAATATTGATCTGTTTTTAATTTTAATATTCCATTATTTGGATTCATTTCAAAAGAACATTGATCAAAACAATTCCATAAATGATATGTAATACGTCCATTTGTTTCTTTATTTTGATCGAAATCAAATGCTTGAAATTGATATGGTAATTGAAATAATTCGGTTAATGTATTATTTGAAAATATAGGTCGATATTTATTTATTTCACGAACGTTTATTTCAATATTTGTTTTTAATGAATAATATTGAGTAAGGAAATTAATATCGGCTTGTATTTCTAAGAAATATTTTTGATATTTTAATGGTTTAGCTAGATATAAGATACTAGTTTTTCGATGAAGATAAAATTGATTATGATTATTTAATAATTTATAATCAATATTTAATTGTTGATTAGGAATAATATTATTATATTGTAGTTGAATATGTGTTATATATGAATGAATAGGTAAGTTTTCATTAATAAATATTGGTTGATTTGATTTAAAATAAAATTGAAGTGAAGTTAAATTAATTGAAGGAGTTAAATAATAATTTGTATATTGACATTTTGTACGATTAAAAAAACAGATAAGTAAATGAAGATTATATTGATGAAAAGAAAATGTTTTGAAATAAATTTGATTTTGATAAAAAAATAAATTTATTGAATTTAATGATGAATTATTTAGAATAAATATTTCAAATGAAGATATTTGAGGAAAAATATCAATTATTAAAATTGGTTGATGAATATTTACAAGATTCCATGTAGATTTTTGATAAAAGAATATTTTGTATGATGAAACTAATTGTTCAAATTCAATTATTTCATTAAAAATTGTTCTTACATAACGTAAAATTTTCTTTGCAGGAAAAATTAATTTCACATGTGCTTTTGCTTTTATATCATTATTCATAAAATATTTTCGATGACGATCATATGCATAAATATCAAATTCATATATAGATTGCAAATTATTTTTCGATAATAAATATAATTCCCCCGTATACGGATGAAGTGAAAATGTATTATTAAATGACACAGATGAAAATTCATAAAGAATTTGAGCATGTTGAATTTCATCGGCATCAGTAGCATGAAAATGAATAAGTGGTTGAGATATATCTATAGGTTCAGTAAAATTTTTTTCATATATATCCATATTAAATACTCCATCATTATCATTCGAATCAGCAACATGAAGTCGAATCTAAAAAGAATAAAATAGATTTTTTCTTCTTGTAATACGAAATCAAATTAAGTGTGCTCCAAATTTGGAGTTTACGGATGTGTAAGTTTTCGCGAAAAACTAATAATCTGTTTTTGATTGCAGTGGCGAATCTAGGATTTTGGAAGGGCGGAGGGTCATTCTGGCTAGAACCTATTTTTTGAGTACAATCGAAGTAGTGTAAACCTCTTTTTTCGTTCATTTTTGCTGCAGAAAATCAAAAACAAATTCTGAAGGGGGGGGTGATCACTCTTCCCCAAATCCGCCACTGTTTAATTGCTTTAATAGATACTCTGGATGGTGTTGAGTCGACTGGTGATGCTCAAGAAAAAAAAGTAGACAGTAACAAGTTACAATATATCGAAAAACTTGACCGGAATATGAATAGTCTTACTTTTGCTTGTTCAGTATCATTGCCATGTTTAGTGATAATATTTGCTTGAATATAAAATATATAAATATCTTGATATTCTCGATTGATATCCAATGGTCGTATTATATTAAGAATAAAAAAATAAAAATCTGCTATACGTTTTGTTTTAACATAAAATAAATCATTATCATCAATAAGTTGATATTCAAGAAATTTTATTGTTGATGTATGATAAATACCTATTGGGATATGATTTGGATAAAGTAATAAGGAATTAGAGAGAATATTCTCTTGACACCATATATCATAAGTTGATTGTGTAAAATAAATATTGTTCTTATCATCAGCAATTACAATTGTCAAAAATACATAAACAATAAAAATATGTAATGAAGACATATAAACACACAAGTAAAATTTGTATTTAATCTAAAATCTATACATTCATTTTTAGTTATAAGAACAGATACAGATATGTTCTATTTATAATGAATGAAACATAGTCGTCCCTATTAATAAGGAGTACATATCACTCATCAGTAAAAAATATCTGATAGACTGTCCGACTGTATACAACATACTTTTTTCAAAATATATAGACAATGTCTAATACATATTCTGAATGGAGATACATATAAACATATCAATGATGATAGATGAGTAATGACATGATGTGATCAACTATTCTATCTGTCCAATCTAATAAAATATATATCGAACAAATTATTACCTTGATTCTATTTCTATAGATTATTATAAAAGATTCAAATATGACATTTTTCTTTTCATTCATCAATCGATAGTTCAAATATGTCATACTAATCTATCAATGATCGAACATAATAAAAAAAAAGAACCACACGACGAAAGACTTTTTTTATTTTATTTCAAATGTGTTATATTTGTTACCTGTTTGATGATGTCACAGTTATCGATTATGCCACTAGTTTGTTTTTATTATTAAGTTACATAATAAAATTAAAATACAGAAGATAGTTTTGTTTTGTAAATCATTACTCGGATTTAATTAATTGATAGAGAATCAGTTTTATGTTATGAGTAAAAATAAGATGTATGATGTAACAATATTAATATAAACTAAAAATGAATGTCTAGAAAGCATTCGGATTACTTCTGTAACTTCAGTTTTTAGTTGTGTCTCTATGTTTCATCAAGGTTATTATTAGTATTTGATTACGCAAAATATACAATAGTAAGAAATGATTTGAAGAACATATATATTATCTGTGAATACTTATTGAATGTATATGTACACATATGTATTGTTTAATAACATCACTAATCGGCGTAACGTAAGCAATTATTGAATTCAATGTCGCAGCAGGTATCTTACCGATGAATTTATAGGTAATATGATAATAGGTTGTATGTGAATAAGTCGATTATAACTAAGTGATTGGGAGTAATCATCGAATGAACATTGATTATAAATCATTACAGATGTTGTGAAGATTAAGTCAGGTCAAGGTGAAATATTAATGTAGTTGATTGAAGCAACATGTGTGATATAAAAAAAAGAAGAAGATGATATGTCTGTCATTCCCTTATGATTTTTGACGTTTTTTCTTACGATAGAAAAAGATATGTGATTGTATATACAACATTTATAAATTAAGTGATGAATAAATCTAACTACTATTAATTTAGAAGATCAAATAACTTAATGAGATAAAAAAAAATCGATGTATAAATAATAGTGACCTTTACATCTATAATCAATCAGTTTAAAGCAAGAAAGAAAAGAATCAATCGGATATGATTGTTTATTTGTTTGAATTAAGAAAAATGAATCTTTCATATTAAGAATGATTTCTGACAATGACAAGTGATACTTCCAGCTGGTATGTACACACTTATCATTTAATAAAGAAGGTCATTTGGTTGTTTAACGACAAGAAAAATGAGAAGAAGGGTATTAGTATCATCATCACTCAGTTCTTTTGTTCAATGCAATGCTCTAGGGGATCAAACGATCATCAAAATTAACTGATAAATTAAAACGAATGATATTCAACAGTATTAAATCATTTGATAATATTGTAAATATTTTTTTTCTCGTACGATAATCTATTATGCTATTTTAAAAAATAGCACATATCAAAGTGTTATTTTAATAAAAAAAGAGGGCATGTTTATCGGCTGTTTTCTTTTGTTAATAGAGTTCATAATGAAGTATGAAAGATTGCAGAACAATGGTAACTTCAATTGAAATTCTATCTGGTAATAGCAGAAGTTTCGATTTCAACTTAAGATATTATATGATCTTTATATTGAATAAAATTCTATCTAAATCTTTGTATATTAATATTAGGTCGGATTATTCAAGGTCATAATATTAATTACGCAATACTGAAATTACTGGGAACCTAGATCATGACAATTTTTTTATCATATATGTAAAGCGGAAATCTACTTTGCTGCTTTCTAATTATGTATCTTATGCATGTAATTATTCAAACCTGTTATTCATGTTGTAACATGAATGGACTTTTATCTTTCTAGGTGACATCGTTTTACTGTTTAACAGATATGATGATTTATTCATGTGAAAGAATGGATAATGAGATTAATTTTTTTTTAAGTTTCTGTTTATTTGAATGAAAAAAAGTAAAATATTCAGATAGATTTAAATTGATGATGGTTTACTGTTAACTGGTTTTAAAATATTAACAAATAAGAATGGCCCATCACTAGTTTGTCGTCGTTCTTTTCTTCGACCGATCATATTTTTCCATAAAGAATATAATCGACTATTATCATCATTTTCAATAATTGGTAATGGTGATTTTTTATATTGAGGTCTTTTTTTTAATATTGATGCATTCTTATCAAATAATAATGGTGATTTTATTGTATATGATTGTTTATGTTGTCTAGTTGTTTGATTATTATATTGTTTTAAATAATATGTTGTTAAATGTCGAGATGTTTGACATAAACTATGACGATGATTATCAATTGAATACATAGAACCATGACGACTGTATGAATGCGCTGCATGTGGTAATAAACTTGGACGGCCATTTTGACCGATACGAACAGCACCAACACCACCACCGCCACCAATCGCAGTATTAACACCACCACCACCGAAACGTGTTGGAAAAAAAAGTCGAACAAATTCTCGACGAAATACTCTTCCTGTTAGAGCATATAAGAAAAAATTACATGAATGATTAATATATTGACATAATTCAGCTATAGCTTTTCCTATAGCTAATGGAATTTCATTAACACCGGGTTTTGATATACTTTGAACGATTTGCATTAATGACATTGGAGCTGAAAATATACAAAATGCAATACTAACAGATAGTAACATAAATGTAACACGACGTCCAACACGTGTATTGCTTGTAGAATTTGTATGCATTGGATTAATAGCTAATGATGATGAACGACCTGTTAGACTTGGAGTTGATGCTAATGAATATTGTCGATAATGATGTAATTGACGAAGATTCTGTAATTGTGCACTTATACCTTCTGCATGAAAAACTCGTTGAATAATTAATATACTTAATATAATTAATATACAAAATGGTATAGCTGAATATTTTAATGCATCAATAAATATAAAAATTTTTCCAACAAAATGTCTTGCCCAAATTTTTGGATGACATACAGGATATTCACCATCAATTATTTCTAATTCCAATGTTATTAAAAAATGACCATCAATTAATGCAAATATCATAAACATAACAATTAAAACCTAAATATGATTCATATAAAGAATATTAAAGATTTTTTTTTTAATAATCTTACCCATTTAGCTCGTCGAGTAGTACACATTTGTGATGCTCTTAATGGTCTTGAAACAGCAAAATATCGTTCAAATGACATACATACAATAATCCAAACACTATACGAAAAAATAACAAAAATTATATATTTGATTGTTGTTGTTTTTTTTATTACCTTGCATCAGCAAAAAAAACAAAAAGAAATGGAACTAATTTACATGTAATATTTGATTTAACAACAAATGTTTGTAATTGCATCATATAAAACCATTGATTAAGACAACCTGTCCATAAAACAAATGTATCGGTTACAGCTAGTGCTGCCATATAAAAACATGTTGATGATACACGCATACGTCTTCGACGCATTACAATAAATGTCATTACATTACATATACTACCAAATATAATAAGTATTGGTAAAATTATTATTTCAAGACGTTGAACGACTCCTAATAAACCAAGAGTACTTGTTTCATTATCCATTGACAAAAGAAAAACTTTGTTTTTGTTTTGTTAATATATATATATAAATATTCAATATGAATATCAAGTCATCTGAAATAAAGCATAAAATTTATGATTTACTATTGATTTACACATGTTTGACAGGTGGAAAAAGTAGAATGTTATGGAAGAATAAATCTTTTGAAGTTAATGTAACGAGGAAATTGAAAGATTTCTGTTTTCCTCTCTTAATTTCATATGAAAGAAAAACATAGATGGTGTTCTTCCGGAAATTTCTTACTAAATTTATACAAGTCATACGGTATTCACTTGCTAACTGATTATAGAGTCATCGGGTTAATATCAAAGAGATAAATATTATCGAAGTTTTTAAGGATTTATCAGAATAAAAATTAATCAAAAGAAGACGATTCCTTTTTTAGTTTAGAAATAATAAAGAATAATTTATTACAAAAATTCTAAGCACGCTCAACTTTAACTATAAATGAAGACATCAACTGTTATCTATATATAATATTTCTTATGAAACTAACGAATCTAACCTTAAACTCAAAATAAAAATCTCTGGGAACATTCAGTTTCGATCTACTTCTAATTATAGTAATGTCTGGTAACATATTAATCTTTATAAAAAAAAGATTTTTTAACCTTTGTAATGCTATAACTATTGCAATATAGATTATAACATGAAAAACTAGAATATAATCTTGTAACATCGGAAAACATAATTCTATTTTATACTCGGTAACTTCACACGCTACTGTCATCCGCTGTCATTTTCAAATGTCATTCATAATTATTTCTTTATCAAATGATTGATCTTTATTAGTATTTGTATAAACAAAATAATAATGTCATACAAAAGGTTAGATTCGATAGATGACAAGTTGTTCAATATAATTAGTAGCAATAAATACTTTGATAATTTTTTCTGTCGATCTTTAATTATCAACTTTAGTTTATCGAGGGTAACTAAGTCAATTAAAGATTAAGGATTTAGTCATGATTATTATTGAAGAATTGTGACTTTATTCTTTTTAAAGAAAAATATTATTAATTTGAATTTAATTCTATTGATCTTTTAATATAATCTGACAGAAAAACAAATTATCAACATACATTAATTAGATGAATAAAACTTCTACAGATTCATTATAAAAAAAATCAATTTACATAATAAATAACAAAATACTTACAAATTTATTCATTTTTATATACAAACGAAATTTTCTTCTTCTATTTCTAATTAGAAACTAGAATGAGATTTAAGAATTATTCTCTTTTTTCTTACGGAAGTAAACTAATATATTTTATCTTCAGAATTTTAAAAGAGAAAATTACTGACAACTGATACATATATTTTTTTCTATAGAAAAAATCTATTTCTAAGCACGTACCTAATGTTGACATGCTTAAGTGTAATAATAGTGAAAAACAATTGCGTAAATGATGCAGTTCATATACATAAAGAGAAATGTCCTTTTAACCTTCTTGGTACTACGCATAAACAATCCGTATTTTTAATTCTTAAAAAACAAGAAAAGGACATTAGATTTGTAATCGTAGAAAATCTTAGAATAAAAGATGTTTAGATGATCTTACTGATATCATTGAAACTAACTTGTTCTTTGAATAAGAAAAAAGTGGGTGGAAATTTTATATTTTTTGTTCCATTCTCAGTAAATCTATTATTTATATATAAAATCGGGAATCTTTCATATATTTTCTACTATAAGAAAAAAGAATGATCATGTGAACAATCAACGTACATTGAGGACATTCTATATAATAGGTTTATTAGATATGACATGTCAGAAATTTTGACATAAATAAAGCATAGTTTCAAAAAATGAATATATCTAGGTGATTTCTATCATCTATTATTTTAAGTCGATTCCCACGACGAACGAATGATAAAAACAAAATGAATAAAAAGATAATTCTATGGGCTATTCCTAATAATGAATAACAAAATCCAATTTTTTCTATCTCTAATTTTAAGGAAAAAACTGTAAGACATTCTATATTTTCAAAATTTCTATTTAATATTATGTTTACATTGATTAATATTTAAATATTCTCTTGTTTACTCGAAACATCCTATTATTGTAATACAATAATAAGTACTTTCAATGTTTCATAACAAATTATTCTATTATCTTTTTCAGTAATCATGTACATTCAAAATGCTCTAATAATGTTTTTCTCTTAATATGAATTTATATTTAACTTTGATGTCATGTACCTCATTTTATAATATATCATATTAATGAATATTGTAGAAGTCAATGACGTGTTGAAAGAGTATATTTCGAAAGCTAATCAATCTACAGGAAATAAATATAAATATGCATATAGATATAGATATAAAATGACAGATTTGAGTAGTCAAAAGGTTGATCGACGTATCTCATCATAAAATACATTTACTTGTCAGAAATATTCGCTATAAATGAACTAAATAAAAACAATGATCAAATGATATTTTTTCTTCGCGTCATTAAAATCTCTTCGAAAGTGTTAATGAAGTGGAATCAAATCAAAATAGTAACATAACACCTCACTTAAAAAATACGATACTTTACATTTAGATCTTGTCACACATATATGTTCACTTCATAATAAAATTAAAAATAAGGTGCTGACGACTAAATGAACGACATATATATATATATATATATATTATCGTCGATTCTTTCATGAACAACTAAGCTGTTCGTGCGGAAATGAATTGTTAGAGCATCATTTCCTCGTAACGATAGAAAAAAAGACTTGTATTTATATTTAACTGCTCCTGTCAATTATTTCCAAATTATATACCTTGTTTAATAACTATTATCATAAAGATTGACATTGTATTACTTAATCAAGTTACAAAAAGCAAAATTCTATCTTACTTTTTATGTTTATTCATTAAATATCATTGAATTTTATTCTTGTTAATTCTATTATTCAAAAAAAAAGAAAGAAAATCTTTGCCTGTTCCTGAAAAAAAACCTTGTGATGAATAGCGTCCATAATTAATCAGTATGTTAGTAACGCGTGTTCATATAAAAAAAAAGTAAAAAATTTTCAGTAGAATTATCATTAATGTTACAGTCTGCTAACTTCATGGCATACATCAAACGCAAGAAAAATATTTCAAAACATGATTTTATTTAATTAAATAAAAATAAGCTAGTCTATTTTTCTCGAAGTAAAAGAAGCGTGCCTTGATCATCCGCGTCTCTGTTGCATAGTTACATGAGGTTTTCTTCAATGCTATCACAATAGTATATTTAATATTCTATACCCAGACGCACAGTTGTATAAAGATAATACAAGGGGTCGAAGTTGTTTGTCTGCGAAGGCAGTTGTACCGAACGAAAGAAAACATAATTATAATCATAACCTTTGAACGACAAGGAAATGTAATATTCAAGTAATCAAAGATTTTATATGTTGTGACATTAGATTCTAAAATCTACATTAAATGCAATTATCATACATTTGTTTTTATTTTTCAAGTCAATGATTAAATATATCATGCATCTAGCTAGGTACATTAATTAAGATGATATTCAAGTAAATTGACGGTTGATGTGAATAAAAAATAAATATTTTGATGAAAGCATATATTTTTTTTTAACGGAAAATATTTCAATATATTCATCGATACTTTTTTTTGCTAGACATAACTTATGATATTTATATGTTTAAATGACAAGAGTTGAATAGTATTAAGAATATTGTATATATTGTGATAATAAGACAATGATGTAATGGTATATAGAACTCGATATCCAAACATATTTACCATAGGCATGATGGTCTGTTCAATGTTATTATCCTTCCTCTCTATGTCATTGTCCATCCGTCTGGCTAACTATCTCGATATACAACATCGTCTATAAGCATATAATCCTTGACATGTGTTACTAGCATAGAAAATGTACACGAGTCTTGTTTATTTTCTTTTTTAAATACAATGAGTACTGGAAGGAGAAAACCAAGTTCCAAGAAGTTTGCAGTATAGTTTTTTTTCACAGATAAATTCAAAAATCTTATGAAATTCGAAATCGTCTAGGATTATGTGAACACATAATTGCTAAATTACTATTGGTAATGTCTTATTATCATGGTTTATTTATATGAACACGTCTGTTTAACTGTTGACCGATAGCCAAATATTTTCTGTATCTTAATCAAATCGACCTCGTCTGATTACCTAACACATATCGATTATTGCAGATATGTTGAACGCATAATTATCTTTGAGTAACAGTCGTTTGAACATGTCTGACATTGATCAGTGCTAATCAATCCATAGGCGAAAGATTTTAAGAGGTGCTAATTGACATTTATATGACACTCATATTTATTTAGAAGTCAATGAGTATACTTAAGATAATTTATAAATCTTTTACAATAACGGATAATTTTATTCCATATTAGAAATCCAAATGAAGCATTCTTTCAATTCTAAGACGAAGAAGAAAAAGAAAAGATGGCAATGTAGCAGTAATTCAAGAGAGAAAAAGAAAGTAGATACTCTAATGGGTTAAGCGCGCATACATAAGAGAGAAAGAAGGGATACGCTCGCCGTCTCTATTGCGTAATCTGAATGGCAAAACTGTTTTCTGACTACTCGACTAAACACAGTTCGCTCGAGTAGATATGTCAATGAGGAAGAGAAAGAAGAGAGCAATTGAACTCTCTCTCTCTCCATATACATATATATAAAACGACTATCAAATCATAATCTGATTCTTGATGGTAGTTTAGTTTGGAACTAGAAGCATAGATTTTTCTTTCTCTTTCTCTTGCATATTCTAATAAAATTAAGTTAATTTTTCTCTCTATTGATGTAACTATCTATCCGAATTGTTTGAAGGTTGAATTGTTCGATGAAAGATTGTATTCTCGTCGATACATATATTATCGATCTGAAAATTTCTAGTTTTTATTTTATCTTTTAATTTTAACAGCGCATAAGAATAAAGATAAGTAGGTGTGTATTAATAATCATGCTAGCTTTTATTCATTCTACTTAATCATGATTTCAAAACTATAGAATTTACACGTCATCAATGAGATTCTAATCATTTGAATGATTTCTTTACATTTATTTTATACGTATGTCTCGATTTGACTTAGAGAAGATAAATGTGTAGATATACAGGTGTCTTTTTATGTAAAGATAAATATATAAAAAAATAAAAATGAGAAGATGAATCTTGATTATGACTAAATCGAGTCACGCTCTGTCCCCACCTACTACACTCAATGTTGCTCATTCATAAGTATTATACTTTAATCTTATGACAGATGTATATATATATAGAATAGTTATAAAAAGATTTATTCTTAATAGAACTACTGAGACTCTTCGAGAGTTACATTGAGAAAGTTACATAAAGTAAAGATCCAACATTTATGATAGTCATTTACTCTTTCACCATTTATTTTAATGTACGAGAGAATAGCGCTACCTTCGATTTTTTTTTATACGTATGCATGTATATATATATGAATAGACCTTCATCAATGACAATCACCTATTGAACAATGCATTGAAAATTGCATGATAACGATCATATTATCGTCGTTATATCTTTTTTTCATCTTTATATTTTAGTTATTGAGATGTGACCGTTATCATTATTATGACAAACATTACAATGATGAATTCTAATCCGATATATAAGAATTATCTTGTTCAAATAGCTACACGTAGTGAAGAATTTATTTTACCATGTTTATTATTAATTGGAACAACTTGTAATACATTAACATTTATTGTTATGAGACGAGGACGTATGAGACATTCATCATCATGTTTTTATATGGCTGCATTAGCTATTGCTGATACATTTGTTTTATGGATTGGTTGTCTCAATCGATGGTTAGAATTATTAGATAAACAAAGACCTATTCTAGCTTGTAATATATGCTGTAAATTTGGTACATTTGCATTCTTTTTCTTTGCTGATTGCAGGTAAATCAAATTTGAACATTTTCAAAAGAGATTATTTACATATAGAAATCAATGAGCTTAACTGTCAGATTATCATACATGATTATTTTTGATGAGCGTTAAACTAAATATGAAAAGATTTCTTTTATGAACTTGAATTAAATGTCCTTAAGAAAAATTCGTGACGGAATAAATCTACAATGAGTTATATTAATAGATAATCATTATTTCGAAACTGCGTCTTTTTTTCTTAGGAAAGAATAAGCGCTCATGACTCATTGAAAAGTTGAAGTATCTAGTTCATTAAATATAAAGATTATAAGATAATCTCAAAACATAAAGTTGATAAATGTGATATTTCAACAAAAGTATTATATTTATAGAAAGTACTCATAGTCCTATATATTTTTCAGATAATGATGCAGTTTATTTAAAAATATTATAGACTTGAATTTAGTAAATATATCGAATTTTTTTCCCTAGTGTATGGATAACAGTTGCGATGACATTTGAACGATATATAGCTGTTTCTCAACCACTTCGTGCTAGTCAAATATGTACAATAAAACGAGCACGTTATATGTTATTATTTGTTTTTCTAATATTCTTTATAATTAATGCACATTTTTTATGGACATTTCATTTATCATCAACTGAATCTCATTGCATACCAGTGAATGAACGACTATTATTTCTGAAATATTTTACATGGTTTGATTCATTTAAATATTCATTTTGTCCATTTACAATTTTAATAACACTTAATATCTTAATTATAAAAAGTTTATTAAATGCACGAAATACAAATAAATTATTAGAACAACAAATATCAGATGTTCATAAAAATATCAATAGTAAAACTTCAACATCATTTTCTTCAACATCAACAAATAATAGTGGAAATGGATTAATGAAAAAAACTAAAAAAGGTCAATATCAACATATATCAACAAAAGCAATGGCATATCGACGAGTTAATCGTCGTTTAACAACTATGTTATTAACTGTATCATTTGCATTTTGTATTTGTTCAATGCCTATATCGATTATGCAAATAGTTGATGCAATTTATTCTGATATTAATCAACGTTCAACAATATTAAATATAACTATTACAATAGGAAAAATAATTGCTGAAATATCTCAATATATAAATCATTGTAAGTCTTTTTCTAAAATTGTTATATAATCAAGTAAATCTTTGTTATTCTAGCTTTAAATTTTTTCCTATATGCTTTTACGGGTCGAATATTTCGTCATGAACTTCAACGATTATTTACATGTCAACGATATAGTTTTTTTTCTTCGTCATCACAACGTCTAAGACATCGAGCAAAAAAACTTATATCATATCAAAATCCAACACAAGGTGTACATGAACATTTTTATTCACAAGGTAAATGTTATACAAGAATATTAATTGCACCTAAACATTTATTATCAACACCACAAAATGAAACTTATCGACAAAGTATATCAAGTACATATTCATTATCACAAATACCAATAACAAGACAAAATTCTCCATATCAAAATGAAAAATTTTTAACATCATATCCTCATTTACCACTTTCAACACGTCCATCGACATTAACACAAACAACATCAATTATGTTATTAGAATCACCAACTTTATCTATCAAAAATAGAACATCACTTAATTCATTTGTTGATAAAATGAAATATGATCAAACAAAACCTTTATTAAATTTCTCAACAATTAATCAAACAATTCAACCTTACGGTTACATGGATAAAACAATAAATTCATAATGGAATTCTAATAGACTTTATTAACTATGAAAAATATAAAATTTCAATTTTGTATATATTAAACAGTAATTGTCGTTTGTGTGCAATTTAAATTTTATTATAAATAAAATATGAAATATATAATATATATATACATATAGATACATTCTAAGATTTCTTTTTGTGCGCATAATTTCAATCAGTGTTTTATCTAACGGGTAGGCGGCGCCCACGCGAAATTTCGATTCACCCACCCGAAAAACGAAACGTAGATAAAACATTGCTTTCAACGTCTTAGTGTTTCTCAATATAAAAACTTAAATATTGAATGAGTAAGAGAGTGCATTTTATCTTCTTATTGATAAAATGATTTATCATTAATCATAAGTATTTTGTTAATCATATGCTTAATATAATATCTTTTATATTCTTATCTTAATTTAATCCATTCTATAAATATGCTTTTGATAATATCATATGATATTACTTTCGTATATTTATAATTCCATTTAGAAATAAAAATATTCTTAAGAATGAAATTATACAAATCTTTATTAATGAAAATATTCATTAGTTTTTTATTAATATTTATTAAGTACGGTGAATTAAAAGAGATAACAACTCTTTTTAATTGTACATTTGATGATGGTTTAATTGATGATTGTATATTTAATGGAATATTACCATTCGGTGATAGTCTAGAGATAGATAAAGGTCAAAATACTATCGATTTATCTGATCGACCATTATCTGATGCTACGTCCGTATGTAAGTAGACTAAATTTTTCATAGAGAAATATATGAATTTATTTTTAATGATAGTTTCACCAACTATGAATGGAGAAATGTGTACATTTCCTTATGATTTAAATGGATCGGACATGCATTTTTGTCTGTATGATGAAAATACAATGAATTCTACATGTCCAACTGAATCAGGAAACCAAACATGTGCTAAAGGTTATTTTTGAATTATGCATAAATGTATTTAATAGGAAATATTCACAAAAAAATAGGTCAGTATGGATTTAAAACTACATCCGATCCACATGGTTTTTTAGCAATTTATAAATCAACCACATTGATCGTTACAAATTCAACTAATGAACAACATTGTCTTAGTTTTTACTATTCTTTTACTAATATCTTTGGAAGCCCATATATTACCTTTCGAATGCGTCCAAACTCAAATACGATGGATGGTGAGATTATTGTAACTGTTAAACCAAATTATGGAAATAAATGGCATTACAGTCAAACATCATTTACACCAATAACCGAAGAATATTACGTAAGACAAAAATAATGATTTTAATTAATTTTAACATGAATTATTATTTTTAATAGATTATTTTTGTTCTTTATCGAGATCGTGATGTTGATGTTGTAACTAACTTTACTTTTGCTCTCGATAATATATCGATTATAAGTGGATCATGCTGTAAGTAATAGAATCTTATCTCGTATTTTAATAACTTTTTAATTCTAGTCGATACTACGAATGATAGCGTAACAACAGACAGTTCAATATCGGTAAGATTGATCTATTCAAATATGAATTGTAATACTTTATTATAATAGACTGAAACATCTACTATTACGATCGATTCTAATACTTATACAACAAACAAGTAATGTTATATCAGTTAGATAAACAATAAAGTCTTGACTCTTCTTTCTTTTGTAATGATATTAAGCTAAATAGGAGTTGAAATTCGTTCTTACATTCTATGTAGAATATCTCACGTTGAATTTTCTAAAAAATAATCAGAATTTCATGATTCTTCTACGCAGAGATACTCATAAAATAAATGATATTAAGAACATTTTGAAATATTGAACAGAATTTGAGTAATTCACTCTATATTTAAATAGACAAACTATTACCCCAACAATTGGATCATCCGTTACATTCGATAATCAAGAAAACGAGACGACGACTGCAACTTCATCAACAAATACCACTGAAACGAATATCATTACTTCAAGTACAACGGTAATTATAAAGATCGTTACAATAATCATTCAGCTTTTCAAAGTTACAGTCAGACATGATGAAATCATAATCATTCATAAGTAAACTTTCCTAGTTATTCGTATGAACTCAAATATGTTTATGTTTAAATATTTTAATCTTTTCATATTTAATTAATTCTAATTATTTGAGAAACTGTTAATTTCATATATTAATTTCAATCTTAGACAAAACTAGCTGACATTAGTTCTACTACAATATCAACTTCTACTTCAACGATACCATCAACTTATGTCTCAACCACAACATCACCTGATACAACCACTATTAGTTTAACTCAGACTTCGACCACTACATCAACTGTAGTCTCAATTACAACAACATATCATACCACCACTACCAGAGCAACTCGTACTTCACTCACTACATCAACTGATTTCACAATTACAGCAACAACGCGTACTACTGCTACCAGATCAACTCGCACTACCGCTAGCAGGGCAACTCGTACTTCAACCACTACATCAACTCGCACTACCGCTACTAGAGCAACTCATACTTCAACTAGTACATATACTGACACTTCAACCACCAAATACAAGCGTAAGAAAACTATTTGATTACTTATCTTTTTATATTCATATTTATTAAATCAATTTTAGCGAAAAATCTACCTTTAATACTTGGTCTATCACTGGGTTTAGGAATTCCGGCATTGCTTACAATAATTGTTATTGTTGTTTATATCGTGAAATTTGTACTAAAATAACATATTCTTTGAAAAACTAAACAATTTTCCTGTTTTGAACAGATTTTATTAATATTTTTTAATTTTGTGTATAAAGAATTATTTTTAAAAATCGTTTATCACAATAAATAATATATGAATGAATTCAATGATATAAATATATTTGATCGCAAGTAATCACCCCTTGAACGATAATATTACTGAAATATAATAAAGGAGCGAAAGTATTCAACAGCTGAAAGAAACAAAACTCTGGTTGTCTAATAATATATCAAATATGTTGACAGTTGACATGAGAATGAAAAATATCTGTCAAGATAAGAATAAAACAAACTTTGGTTTAACAACTATGATTGTCTTTTGTTATAAAAGATTATCATAGAACAATAGCGACACATCAATTTCAATCCTTGACATCGGATAGAATTAGGATAGATGCAGTCTTATATCATAATGAAACATTATATTTTATGCAAATATTCTTACGTATAAAGCTCCATTAAGTTAATACTGTATAGAAAGAAAACTATATTGAACAATTGTTAGTTCATGATTCTTTGGCATATCAAGAAAAAAAGATATATTCATAATAGCGATATAAAATCGTATTAATATTTTTTAAGAGAAATACTATGATAATCTAACAAACTAATAGATATTAAACTTATACTAATTTTTTGCCTTTTTGTAATTTATCAATTCTTTAGATTTAAATTAACTATATTTTCTATAATTTCGACATCGCTATCTTTTCTTTTTCTCATAATGATTGAACCACATTATTGCCTTAATTAATAATCTGATCGATATTTTATCTTTTTTACAATACATAGAAAATAGAATCAAATTCTCTTAAATATCTAATATTGTTCTTCTCAAATCATAAGGAAAAAACTGTTACATACCTTCTGATAGACAAATAAATTTTTATAAAATAAAAATTCATAAAAGTATTCTATTAATAAAACTTTTGCTGCACTTAATAGTCCTTTACGTTTTCATGTTATATATGAAGATAAGTGGATGCAAGGATATCGAGTATAAATAAACATCAGTTTTAATGGCTGTATGGCACTTAAATATACGCATTCAATCATATATATCTACAACTTCCATAAAATATGATAATAGAATATGGAGACTATTATTGAAATATATTTTCATACTAGAATATTAATAAATCATTTTATCTTAATGGATCAATAAAAAATTGATTTGAAAGTCATGTAGGCGGGACATGCTTATTTCATATAGAATGAGTATTGATTGATAATAACCTACCATATTATACAATCTTATTAATAGTTAAGATTTTTGCTTCGTATTTTATACTGTAAATCTACCCACGTCATTATCTGATCCGTATTATACCACGACTTATATATGGTGAGGAATTTCGTCAAAAAAGTATTTCTTACTTCTATTTCGCCAGACTCGGTTATATCAATCGATAAAAATATAAAATATTGCAGAATGATAAAACTATTCAAAAAAGATGCTATTTATAGATTGATATGAGATATGATGAAGATAAATTTATCCCGCAATATTAGTTGAAAATTTAAAAGAAACAAAAATTAGTTACACAATTTTTACTTTATTAAACAATATTTTGTATCATTTAAATGATTAAAAAAGACTACACAAAAGGAAAAATGTATGTTCATATCCTAATCACCAGCTTCACGTGCGACTTGATGCCGATGTATATCAACAGTTGAATCTTCATGACGATGAAGTCGGTGTCGAATACGCTTGAATAATTTGAACAATTCATCACGATAAAAAGGAGTACCTAATGTGTACACATAAAAACTTGTTCCATAGCTGACATTAACTAGTAACCTGAAGAATTGAAATACAGTAGCTATTGCTGATGATGGATTATTTAGATAATAATAATATTGTATAAAATATGTAGTACTAAATGGAACAACACAAATCATGTTTGATGTAACATAAAGAAAAAGCATTTTTATTAATTGATAATCACGATGACGTAGACGTGTTTGATTAACAGGCATAATACGATGTCTTTGTTGACGAAGAAGTATAAATGTAGTAAAACAAAGAATAATCATTAGTATAGGAGGCGTTACACAATAAAAAAATAATAAAAAAAGGGATAACATTCTGCTATAACTAAAACTGCTAAAAGTACAATATGAAGTAGAGAAAATAACTACAAGTTTAGCATTAAATAGAACATGAACATAAGCGAGAAATATAATAATAGCTGTACCGGTAATAAGAAAAGGTGCAACACGGACAGTTGCAATTCTTCTCAAATGAACATTCGTTGAACTTGTACATAAACGATCTAAACAAGCCAAAACAATATAATATGGTGATATTGTATAAAATGTATAATTTAAATATGTAAATAATTTACAAAACCAGTCATAGTCTTCAGTTGGGCTGATATTGAATGCACTATCTAACCATTGAATAAATATGACAAACCAAATAACACAAAGATCATTTGTTGAAAGTGCTCGAAAATAGTATGTACATGATGCTGTTCTCAATGGTTTTCGATAATAAAATAAGGCTTGATTCAATAGAGCACCGATTGTTCCAAAAATGATGATTAATGGTTGAGCATAATAACTCACTTGTGTATAAACTGAAGCCATTCGATAAAATAATATAAATGACTGCGTAAAAACTGGAATATATATATTTTCTGTTTGAAACTTGCTTAGTAATTATTAAAATGTTCTTGAATCTTCTCAAGACTAAAGTTGACGTCACCATGAACATGATTCAAGTAAATGGTAACTATCATATCCAGATAGATACTATTTCAAGAAATTTTTGTATAATTACACTGTCAAAAACAATTCAGAAATAAGAAGGTGTTGAATAGAATCGTCTGTGCATGATTTTAAGAACGTTCATATTTTTTAATTATTTGTATATAGAAACTTTCTCTGATGCAGTAAAAACTCATATTCTTATATCACCACCTTCATAGATACATTTTTCCGATGATTCATCAAACAAATGTCCTTACATATACGTTCGGATAGTTCATTCTTTTCAAATCTAGTAGACATGTAAATTAATTACCAAAAGACAAATCGAGCTTTTGACAGACATGTATATCAAAAGTATGTTATCAGCCATGTCTGAAATGATAATTTATCGCTTCAGCATTTGCTTTGACTATACAAAGCTAATCTAATATACTTTTTCAGATTCAAGATCTATATACTACTTTCTCTTTTATTCATGTTTTTATTCAAGAAAAATAGGTGTATAAAAATCAATAGTATAATCACATAAAATAAATGAAAAAGAATGTGTATCAATAAAAATAAATCGACAACAAGCTCAATAAATAAATATTAGTTAACATAGAATGGAAAGTTCATCTTTATCTTTTTCCGTACGGACAATTTTTATGGATGCTTGCCGTTGAATAGCACACATCATCATATGATCCATATAAATATCTTTATTTTTTAAATGTCGATGACATAACTGACATTTAAATAACGCCTAAATCAAGCAAATAATTATTTATTAATGAAATAAAATAAAATACCATAGTTTGTAAAGATCGATTAATTGTATTAGAAGATCTTGTAGGTTTTGATATTACTGGTGGAACTCTTGGTGAAAGAGACAAACGGTCATCATCATCATTATCATTTTTTGTCGTGAAGTAATAAGTAATTTTTCTTTTATTCGATTTATCATCTTGATCGGTACGTTTTCGTTTAATATTAATTGATTTAGGTACAACAGAACTTAAGAAATAAAGAAAAAATTTATTGTAAAGAAAGTTGAAAGTAATTCTTACCTATTTTGTGTTGTAAGAGATACATTTTGTTGTTCTAACCATATACTTGCCATTTTAGTTAATAAATGACCCATGAACGTGTTTTTTAAAAATATAACGAATAAAATATATCTATATGAAATAAAACGTGATTTGTTCTTAATGAATCAAGGGTCAATATATAATAAATAGAGAGAAAAGAAAAAAACGTTCAATTTGTTCTAGATGATAGAATAGAGAAATGTTTTTATTTAACTTTGTTGTTCTCTATTTAATCAAATATAATAGTTCTATATTGATTAAAAATACATGAATAGTTTGTCATATGAGACATTTGAACTTGGATGTGCTAGTTTCGATCGACCTTGATAGATAATATATCAACTTACTGGTAGCTGATACTAGCAAAATTAGATCAAAATAGAGATGAAAACATACTGAGATTAACAGATGTCACGATACATATCTAAAGGAAGTATGTATCAAAAGAACTCAATAACTGAAAAGTCTACCACAGACTGATGATAAGAAGACAAACATTCAATTATCAATATACATCAACATTTTTTCTTCTAGACGATAATATTGCATCTAAATTCCAAATATTCTCATTATAACATCATATACTTACTTCTTGCTCTAGTAAAAAACCTTCATCTAGTGATGTTTTTGTATATTTTTGCATCCCAATCTCTTATTCACTATTTAAACACTTAATCGATTTGAAATAATACTTGATCCATATAAATAATACAGAAGACTTTTTACGTGTGATAAGTTTTTAAAAAGATTTAGAATGATTAACATATGGTTTTCCTTTCTATGTACAAATATTATAGTTATCTTCAAATATCTTGATAATCTTAAGTCCTCTTATTGAATCGGTACATTAAGCTGAATCCAGAAAAATAATAAACACATATTCGATCAATTACTTTCAGTGCCATATCTTTTGACGCGTGAATGTACAGAAAAGCAATCATCAGATTGATTTCAATGTAGAATAATATTTTTTTTGCAGAATACAATAATAATGCCAGTTTATTTTTGTAGAAACATGTTGAATGCTTGTATATCGATGAGATACTTATGTCTATCTGATGAAAGATAAATACTATTTTTCATCTCAAAGCTTCTTTATGATTTTTTTCTAGTACTATATTATTTATTCTATTAATTCTTATACATATCGTTTCTTGTGTAATCCTTTTTTCTGATGATATGGCATAAAAGAATATTTAGTACACAGGGTATTTGCATGTATACTTCTTGCATGAAAAAGTACATCTTTGTCTTTATTTATAAAGTAATATCCCTATACATGATACTAGTCTATATCACAAAACAGTCGTTTTTCTGGTCATGTCTCAATGATATTCTATGAGTAGTTACGATTAATTGCGTAAAAAGAACACGGATAGTCGATTTATTACTTTTGCTACTGCTATCAACAATAAATCAATATGACATTTTATAGAGAGTATTGATTATTTTATGTTTGCATTGTTTATAGAGAACTACTCGACCTTTGATAATCCAGATATAAAATCCATTATTATCATCTCTTTCTTTCTTTCTTTCTATATATACTTTTTCTTTCTTACTACAAATAGGAATCTACACAGCATAGGCCAAATATATACAAGTTAACTTTGTGTACAAGAAATACAATGTGCTCGTATACCTGCTATAAACTTTTCATCTTATTTTTAACTTACTATCAAATAAACACTCAATATATTCCATTTGATACAATTGTAAGTTTCGGTGATTCAAATAGCGACACGGGCAATGTTTATAGTTTAACACATCAAATATGGCCTATTGTACCTCCTTATTACCGAGGTCGATTTACAAATGGTCCTGTCTGGATAGAAAAATTAGGTGTATCAGATATAAAAAATTATGCATATGGTGGTGCAACAACTGATAATAATTTAGTTCAAGGTTATACTGCAGGAGGTGTACAAGTTGTACCAGGTGTTCGTCAACAGATCTTAATCTACGTAAATCAAACGAATAAAAATGAAATAAATTTTGAACGTACACTTTATATCATATGGGCTGGTGCTAATGATTTTTATTTTAATAAATTGCTTAAACCATCTCTTGTTGCTGATAGTAATGTAAATCGAGTTAAAGAACTACTTAAGTTTGGTGCAAAACATCTTCTTATCGTTAATCAACCACCTGTTCATGCTTTACCATCGAATCTAACTGAAAAAGATATTGCTCATCTTAAACAACGTACTATTTATCATAATAATAATCTATCTGCAGGTATTACAAAACTTAATTATAATCATAATGAAATTAGCATATATTTATTTGATGTTTATTCATTGATTTTAAATATAATCGATAATAAATCAAATTACTCATTGACATCAATGGACAATTGTTGGAATATTGTAAATGGTAAAATAATTACACTATGTTCAAATCCTGAATCATATTTCTATATTGATCAATATCATTTTACAGCACGACTACATGAACTTATTGGTAATGCTGCACGTCAATTTATTGGTACGTCATCCGCTATTACACATCTTCCTTCTTTAATTTATATTATTTTATGTGCATTAATAACTTTTATAATATCATCTTCTTCTTAATGGAAATAACTGCTTTTATTTTTCACACAATATTTACTAAATATCACGATTTTAAAATAAAATATTCAATAAATTTACTTATATAATGTATACCTGTAAATGATAGCATTGAATTCTAAAAGAATTTAAGAAGAGAATGAATGTAAATAGTATCTCGTCAAATTCCAAGATCTAAAGATACGCATGACAACCTTTCAGTTTTTCTGAATTTCATAGTAGATAACAGGTATATGTGTATATCTAAACTTTTCACGTCTAAATTTTTGTATTATATCGTTGTTTTAACTTTGAAAAACAAATCTAATAATATCCTGTATGATTTCTTTCAAAGTCATGGATGTTCTCATCAAACGGAACCTTGATAAGTTCATTCATCTGAATTTATAGGCCAAAAACTTATATAATTACATTGACGTAAGCACTTCTATTGTATTAGGAATAGTATAGATATCCGGCGAGGTTACGCTTCATTTCATTGAATTCATCAAATCAGAATATATTGTTTGTAATTTTACGCTTATATTTCATTAAGTTGTAAATTTATTGTTACTATAGAATCTACTACACTACGCATTGAAATGAAGTCAAGCGACAATAACATTAAAAACCAGACATGCTTTGAAATATTTTTTCTAAATATTCAAATTAGTATATTAAATATAACTTTGATTCAAATAATATTGTTTGAGTACTTCACGGACAACATTCAAATTTATTTCTGAAAATAATAATACAAAAAATTAATTTTTGCGTCAAATTTTATTTAATATTTGTTTCTAATTCGGTGAACATTTTAAACGTCGTATAAATGTTTGAATAATTTGAAAAAGTGTTGTTCGAAATAAATCACCTGCAAGTATATATAAATAAAATGAAATACAATTTGGCACATACGTAAAAAGAAGTACAGTATTGAAAAGTAAATTTTCTAATGCTACTTGAAATGGAGATTTAATATGATAGAATGTATATGTTAAATAAAATTTTTGTATTGCTTGTGGAAGATTAAATACAGTAAGGAGAATAACTTGTAATAACAACATTTTAGTAAGATTACTGTCAGTTTTTGATTTTCTTCTTATTGGGATACCACCAATGGTTGATGGTTGTACTTGACGGGTTTGACGAATATTATTAATAGTAAATAAACCAAGTATGAACATTATTGATGATGGAATAAGTGTTGTGACAAATGATTGAGCTAAATCGTTATATATACGACAACTCTCTGATTTAGCATAACATTTAATAGGAGTACCAATAACATTGGCGTCAAAACAATATAAACTTTCAGCCCAAAAACTTAGAGAAATAATACAAACAGCTAGAATCCAATATCGTCCTTGTTTTGTATTACTCATTCGTCGTATATTAGCATTACGTGATGATACTAAATATCGATCAAATGCAGCAAAAACTAAAAGCCATGAAGCAATATTACGTGCTGTTAACAATACAAATATACGACTTTTACAAAGTGTTGAAACCGTTTCTGTATGATCAGGATATATATTCCAATTGCTTAACATACGCGGTGGAATACCGGATATGAGAGAAATTATATTTGCTATGCTAGCTATTAAAAAATACATAACACATGGATTTGAACGAAGTGCTCGTCGAATGAATACTAGACAAGATAATAAATTACCAATTACACCAAAAATAAGAAGTGTAACAGATAAATAACGATTAACTTGTAAAGATGCATAATTAAGCTGAGCAATAGTAATAGTTGACATGTTTTAGCTAAAACTTACTTTTTTTAGAAATGAATAGGTAAAGATTTTCTTTTCTAGAAAAAACAGGTAATAGATAAAGGCAAATCCACAGGGGCATATTGACACAGTCAGTCGTTAATTATTCAAAAGAAAAAAAAGCTAAGTACTCGAATAAAGATTCTCATAAATAGCCTGAAAAAAAACCTTCTACGTTGCATGACATGGGTGCACTATTTTTTGCCGTCAGATTCTTATAGAACAGAAAGAGCGTTTCTAATTTTGTCTCAACAGTAGCTATTTAAATGTTATTAAAAAATTTTCTCTGGATATCTGGAAAAGCTTCTAACGATGAAAATAAATAATCAGTGGCTCGTAAAGAATAACAGTTTCCATATTCTGTCATTATCTTGTTTTATTTCTGTTGTATCAGATATCCACTTTAGACCAAAACACTATCTACAACTTCCAGAATATTCAAGTCGTTTTTTCTGAAAAACAATTTCTATTAATTTCAACTGTATGAATACTACTGTTTGAATGATATACTAATGAAATCAATAAAACTGTTTTCCAAAAATAGGAGACGATGAACTTTTACAAAGAAATATACCATTGTGCAGAATTTCACACTATATCAATTAGTAAAGACCGCACATCTGAGCGGCGAGATAATAGCAAATTACGAAGACCGACATTCCTTATGATGTACCAATTATTATATATTTCTATTAATATTTTACCGAACATAATGCTATTTAATATTTTTCTAAAGCCGTATTTTCAAGTTCAATATAAAGTACAGTTTAGAGAATGTCTGATGAGCATTAATATTTTATTGCTTAATACTGAATTTCAAACTTCTATGGTAAAATTGAAAATATAACTTACTCTTTAAATAAAACTAAACACATAGTAGAGTGGGATATGACTAATCCCATAGACAAGGAACCTCCCCAATACTCAATTTCTGAGAAATATTTGAAGTAATATAGGTACTACACTCGCCGTGAAACGGTTAACAAAATTTCTAGTGAAGTAAATTTTCTTTTTCCTGTTTATATAAAACGAGGGAAATACTCCTGTGGATGACGTATATATATACTCGTCATAGTAGCTTACGAGAAAAGTAAAACTCTTGAATATTTGAGTATCAAAAAACAATTATCTACTGTTTTTTATTGCAAATCAAATTGTGTATATTAATTTTGTTTATGAGTCTTCTTAAATAAAAACATACTGTTTATCTAAATATTAGTATTAATCACACGCAAAAACTAACGAGTTGCATTTAGTTATTTGATGTTGAGTCAAATTTCAAATGTATATTACTTTTTTTTTTTAGTCATATTTAATATTCCAAACTAGAAGCATCTATTGAACAGTAAAGAAGTTGATTCTTTTATACAGAACAATAAAATCAGAAAATATGTTTTCTTGTACTTAATGGCGGCTCTAGTATATCGATTTTTACTGTTTGATTATATAATTATCAATAAAAATGTGTGTCCTTAACAGTCAATACACAAAAAATAATCGAAAGCATAAATTTCAAGTTCTTGTTTAAATAGTAATAGAAAAACGTTCATAAAGTAAGATTTACTGTTGAATTCTAATGTTTATAGTAATAAAACATTGCATATCGATTTGATCTAGTTTACACATATTCCATAATCTTTATTTCTGTTAGACTCTTATTCAATTGCCAAATATTGTAGTATCAAATAAAACTGAAGAGAAATAATAGATATATGAGTTATTGTTAGATTAGATCTTTCGATTTCAAAACATTATCACTTCAGAGACCATC